CATTTGTGACAGTGAGTCTTACACTCTAACTCTAGTACTTAATAAAGTAGCGGCCACCAGCAGCACCAACATAAATTACTATGGAAGATGTGCCAGTTTCTAAATGCTATGTAGGTCACAGGAGATATTGGCTAAGAAGGTACTCCTATAGCCTTCCAAGATTCACGAGTCCAACGTATGCCTACCACAACGGATGGTGTACCTCATCCAGTTTCACTCATAATAATGTCCCCGTTCCCTGGCACATGAATCACAGTGCCATAGCTAGTCATTTGAAGGGCATCAGAATCTCTTGTGTTCCTGAAAAACACTTATTTCTTCAATTTGCTGGGATCTCCACCTCAGGTTATGACAACTAAATATCATTCCTCCTAAAGAAATCTTTCAGACTAAAGAATTGCATTGTTTGATGACCTTCCAAACTTGGTTCAAAACACACCTTTTCCCAGTTTTTTTGGTGGGGGGCAGATGATACATGGTTTCCTGGAGGCTTGGATGTAGAAATGCTAGGAATTGATCTGTGGTAAGTGTGGGTGGTATTGGTTTTGAAGTCTTTCAACTAGGCGGACTGCACTTTTTTTCTCTTTTTTCTTTTTTTGGCAACACCTAAACCACCGGCTGAAGCACTACCAGTTAAATTTTTGTTTCAAAGTATAGAAATGTCATATATCATATCAATTACATTAAATTCATGTGAAATGTATTTTTAAAATTTTCCCCTCTTCAAACAGAATACTTCTTTGGCAGCTCAAGGACAATCCATTGCTGAGTCAGTCTTATGAAGGGTTAAAGTGCTCCAGCACCATCAGCTACCACACAAGAAATCCAGGCAGAAGTCTTTGAAGGAGAAGAGTTTAGAGTCTACTATACCCAAATACCCTAATGGATTTTTTGTTGTTGGTATAATTGATTTCCCTTTTTATTGTGAAATCTAGTTTGTTCAGGTTTATCTCCTTTAGTGTTGTTCTGTTGTTCTACTGACAACATATAGTGTTATTACAATTTTTATGAAACAAGTTTGAGCACTGCACCTCATTTGCACAAAGCGCTTTTTTCCAGTAACCCAAACCCATACCATGACTTAGTGGCAGTTAGTAATAGAAAACAATCCTTTTACCATCAAGAAGCCTTTTCTATGGCAATGGAGGTTACACATACCCACTGAAAGTCCTTTCCTAGTTATTGCAGGACACTTTCACTCAATGGGAGAACTTGACAATGAAAGCAAAATTTCAAAAGCTACATACTTATGCAGCAATAAGAAATAGTTTGCCTTGCCTTTGAACTCCCCGGTTACCACTTCCACTGCTCCTAGGCCCAGGAGCCGCCCCACCTCCTGCTCAAGCAGGGCTACATGCAAGGGATCCCCCAGGAAGGACGGGGGCAAGGAGGAAGTAAACTGGAGGGTGTAGCCCGAGGAAATGGTGTTGAGGACCCCATCGGTCCAAGGTCAGCCACGGCCACTCAAGCCCACAGCCGACTGGTGAAAGGAAGCTTTATTGGGGGTGGATCCCTGATGAGAACTGGCAGGGTGCCCCTAGGCGTCCCATCAAAACCGCCTTTTCCCCCACCGGCTTGCCCTTGGAGGACCCAAGCTGGGAGGCAGGGCAAGACTGCCTCTGTGGGCACCTCTTATAGTCAAACGACTTCTTAGAAGCGGTCTCATATTTTGGGTGGGTGGCCTGAGCAGGAGTCTACTGCGGCTTGAATTTAGTTTCAGCCGGAGTTTGGAGACCCAGAGTCTGGAGAGTCGTGCGCAAGTCTTTCAGGCCATGCTGCTTTGCATCCGTTTGTTCCGCAAACAAAGCTTTGCCATCAAACGGGAGGTCCTGCAGGGAGGTCTGCGCCTCACTGGACAGTCCAGAGAGCAGGAGCCACGACACCCTTCTCATGGACACCGCTGAGCCCATGGACCGCGTGGCTGTGTCTTCTGTACGCGAAGCTGCCTGCAAGGTTGCCCTGGCAGCTGCTGTACCCTCCTCCACCAGCGCTTTGAACTCCTTCCTGTCACGCTCCTGGAGGGAGTCCTCAAACTTGGACAGGGGGCCCCACAGATTGAACTCATACTGGCACAGGAGAGCCTGGTGGTTTGCCACCTGTAACTGGAAGCTCGAGGATAAATAAATTTTCCTTCCAAAAGAATACAGCTTCTGTAAATCTTTATTTTTCGGGGTATGGGCTGGCTGGCCCTGCTGCTCGCTGTAGTTGACCGACTCGACTACCAGGGAGTTAGGAGCAGGGTGGGTGTATAAGTATTCATGCCCCTTGGTGGGTACAATATATTTGCGTTCCGCTCTCTTTGAGATGGGGGCCAATGAGGCCGGTGTTTGCCACGGGGCATTTGAAATTTTTGCCACCCCTTCATGGAGAGGCAAGGCCACCCTGTCCAGTGCTGAAAAGGACAGCACATTAAACATGGAACCCGAGGGCTCCTCCCTCTCCTCTGCTTGGAGGTGGAGGCTTGATGCCACCCTTTTTAAGAGTTCTTGGTGGGGCCTAAAGTCCTCCTGGGGGAAGGAGGGGCTGTAATCGCCTCATCTGGGAAGGGCGAGGAGACTGTACGGTACTTTGGGTGTCCACCAGCACCCGAGGGTCCACCGCCTGGTCGGTCTCCGGGCATGATGCCGAGGATGTACATCCCACAACTCCTTCCTCGGAGGTCTGGAGAGGGAGGCCGATGGCCCTTCTGAGGCTCCAGCCACTGGGGGCTGCGTCAGAGGCCACGGTGCCCACTGGTACCATTGGGCCACCCCTGGGGCCTGGTGCCACTGCATCTGCTGTGGCACCAGCAGGACCAGCTGTTTGGCCTGGCTGGCCTCGCCCATCCGTGGACGACTTCGAAGGGAGGTCGGGCTGACATATGACCTGCTGCTGTCCCCAGACCGGGAGGAGTGGCGGTGCTGGGAGCGGTGCCGGCCACAGGACTGCAATCCCAACATGGAGGACCGGTACCATCCGTAACAGTTGCTCCGCGATCAGCTCCGGCGGGTGGACCTGCGACAGCAAGACGCCAGCGATCGATGCCCGGGGCTGCGGAGGCAGTGCCATGGCGGGGTCCTGGAGCAGGATGTCAAACAGGTATGATATCGATGTGCATGCCATGACCAGCTACGATAACCCCTCCGAGATGAGGACCTTTGGCAACGTCTGTCTCGGTCCCGTTGGTGTTCGCTCCTTGAGGCAGAGTGGTACCGAGAGTCTCGGTCAGATGGAACACAATCAGACAGCCTGGTGGGCATCGAGGGTGATCCACGTAGACTTTGCCCTGAGCCGTCACTGGGCGGCGAACGGCATCAGGAACGTTACCTCGACTGAGACCGGTACTGAGCTGGGGGCGACTGCGGAGATCCCAGCGGTGGCTTGCCTCAGGAGCGCGGGGCCGACATCGGTGGTGTACCTGGTACCAGCATGGACATAACATCCCGGGCCGCCTGCAGAGCCTCCGGCATGGAGAGCATCCGGACATCCAGGGAGGCCTGCTCCAACTTGGCTGGGCTACTCCGCTCGACTTGAGTTGGAGGCCTAGTGGCTGGTGGGGATCAAGAACTGCCCGACATGGGTCTAGCCTCTGTCCCAGGTTTACTCTGGTGCCACGGTGAAGAAGGCACCTTTCTAGCCTTCTTGGTGTACCGCGCGGACAGGGAGCAGTGCCGACTAGTCGATGGCGCCGAAAGGTCAACACGCACCAACACGGCGGTGCCCAGTGCCGACTCGGAGCGGCGCACCGGAGCCGGGGTCAGCGCCAATGCCATCAGAATAGCCCGGAGCCTAATGTCCCTTTCTCGGTCCAAGGCTTAAACAACTTGCAAATCTTGCAGCAATCGCTGAGTTGGTTTCCCCCAAACAGCACAGACAGTCTGCGTGCAGATCACGCAGTGGCATATAACACCTACAAATGTCGAACGACTTAAAACCTGGGGCCCGGGGCATGCCCCGGCCCAGGCACTGTAGCTAAACTAAACTAACTACAGGTACCATACACTGAATGAACAAGCAGTTTTGGGGACAACCTACAGCAAAACTGGAGCAGAGCAGTTCCAAAAGCAGCTTCACTGGTGGCAAGAAGGAACTGAGGGTGGGGGGAGTGCCCCTTTTACCGTGCCATGGAGGGGTCGCTGGGGCCCTCCCCTATGGGTACTGCTAGGGGAAAAACTTCCAGCACTGGTGCATGTGGCGAGCACGCACACCTATTGTGGAATAAACATGAGCAATCACTCAAAAAAGAAACATGTCAGAGGAGAGGTCCCTAGTGTAGTCACACCGGGAGCAGCCCAAAGAACAAAACTAAGCTGTTACAACGGGCTGTTTGTCTCAATCGATCTGTTTGCAGAGGCTGCACTTCTGAGAGAGCAGAAGAGAGCTGCATGGCTTTGCTTACCCTCCTCTTATTCTGGCCCATCATACACATACCTTGAAGGATGGGCTGCACTGGTTCTAACTGTGCTGAGATTGCTCTGAACACTACGGAAGATCCACTGCAGAGGATCTAGAGATACCCTGGTTTTAACCTCTATATTTGAAAGAGATTCTGACCAGGTAATAAAAGAGGCACTCCCTTCCTTCTATACGTGTCTCTCAGTGAAGAACAAGGAGAAAAATCGAAAGAGAAAACGACAAGAAATTTGATAATTGTAGTAAAATAATAAATGCGCAAAATAAAAAATTATGCAGGTAAAAAAAGGTACTCCCTTGCTGCTCTGCACTGTCAGGGAGACAATGTTCTAGGGCAGGAATGCAACGAGGTACTTTTCCAGCAATTTACAGCTATAACTACCTCCTACAATGTAAGAAGGGAAAGAGCTACCCATCTGTGGTGGAACAGACATCTCCAGAAAGTATCTGAATGATCTGATCTTTAAGACCTTTATTCAGCAAGGTACTTTAGCATGCTATTTAGTTCCACTGAAGTAAGGGCCTATGGCTTGATCCTGCAACCAAGGCTAAGAACACTTAATTGGACCAGAAAGCTTTCCTGGACCAGGAAATTCCTGATTCCTGGACCAGGAATCAGAAATGCAGTATGATCCCAGGTATCTATGTGAGCTTAAAAGTCCTACCCCTATAGCTGTTATAATTAATTTGTATATGGCTCATGTTTATAGACTGAGTTTTGATATATGAAGATATACCTATCTCATAGAACTGGAAGGTACCCCAAAAAGGCCATTGAGTCCAGCCCCCTGCCTTCACTAGCAGGACCAAGTACTGATTTTGTCCCAGATCCCTAAGTGGCCCCCTCAAGGGCTGAACTCTCAACCCTGGGTTTAGCAGGCCAATGCTCAAATCATTGAGCTATCCCTCCCTCCCTTTTGGAAGGTTGCAGCCTGCCAAGAGGATGGGCTTGTCCTCATTGCTAGATAACTATGAGTTGAAGCTCTGAACATGCATCTGGAATTCACAAAGAGATAAGTAAGGAAATTCCCTGTTGTTGGAGTAAATACCTTATACCAGAGAAAGACCAGTTTGGCTGAGTCATCCTTTAATTATACTCGACATCACTATTGTCCTTCACAGTGTACACTAACAATTGTTGAACCTTTGGCACTCTCTCATAAAAGCAGCATTGTTGGACAATACTCTGCTGTAACTGGGTAATAGATGAAAGAAAAGTTTGCCGCTAAGAACTAAACTCTCAATACAGGTGATAGAGAAAAAATTGGAAAGGGGCATATTTACAATTTTTTACCATAAAAAGTTAAAATCTCAATCAGTACATATAGGGTGATTAAGATGGAGCCCATTCAAATCTCACAAATGGGCAGTTGGATTCTCCAACTATACCTTTAAACCCCACTATGTCCTAACCCAAGAGGGAGGGAGGGAACACAAGAAAAATACTTCTGGAAACTTAGCACAATCTGGGTATTATAAATTTACTTATTTTCTATAACTTCCATTTCATGATTCAGCATTTCTGGTGTAGGTAATATACAACAGAAAATTAGAACTATCACCTTTTGTAATTTGAATGTAACACAGAATGCTTCAAACCTCATCAGATCTTCGTAATCCCTGTAAATGCCCCCATCTTACTGCAAAACTTTTCAGCGGGTATCTGCATGCATTTCTCCTTGCTTGCTAGGGAACAGGAGATCACTAGAGGAAACAAGCAGTGCTACTTCCCCCAAGGACACCATACCTGGAATCCAGACATCTGGAGCCAAAGTTGGTGGTTTTGGTACTGAAATAACTGGTTCAGTAACAATCACAAAAATACAACATAGGACATCCTCAAGATAGCAGATAAAGTTAGCAGTAGTGCATTAAAAATACTCTGATACCAACATGTGAAATATATTCAGGAGTGCTCACTTGGAAGTAAGACAAAGTAAGAATATTCCATTTTATAGAATGGGACACTTTTTTTCCCTCTTTAAAGTGAGTGGGTTCCTGCATCATTTAGGCACAAACAAGTAACAGTGGTTGTCCTTTTTTACCCTGAAGATTGTTGTGGTTTGCCTCTATTTTGACCAGATGGATCAAGTAATTTCTTGGGGTTTACCATTTGGAATCTCTCTTTGGAGATATTCTAGCATTATATTGTATGAAATGCAAGACAGGAAGAATTAAAAGAAATACCATTATACATTTG